TTCACAATAAAATATTTTCAATACAAGTACTAGTATTATGAAAAGCAAGTTTCAGGAGCAAAGTAAAGCAATGTGAGAGCACAATGTCTTGCATTCTACAAAGCACAAGCTTATATGCTTATGGAAAAGTGCATGTGGCATCGCCTTGTCACGTCAGTAGTGTTCAAATCCGGCTTAGAATGAAATCTTTGTTTAAATTTCATTATTCCGTTTAGTATCTATCACGATAATTAGTGCATAAATGTTTGCTTGAGTTCACTAGTTCTTGTAGTTGTTGAGTCATTGTTTGTTGGTCCTTCATGTTCTTCAAGTTTGAGCTTGTCGTTTTTTTGGTGGTTATCCTCCTCACCTCTCTAACCCGTTGATTTTATTTTCTTATATGTATGATGGCTTTTGTTGCTGGCACTAAAAGCTTCTTTCTCACATATATTTTTTTGAGAATGCTTCTTAATGTATTCTCTTTTCAACACCTATCTTTATACTCTTGTTCCGTCATGTTGTTTCTGCCTCAATATCCATTTATTCTCTTATTCATAGGAATATATTCTTGATTTTTAAGTATTCTTTTATCAGTTTATTCTTTATATCTTTGATTATTATTATTATTATTACTATTATTATTATTACTATTATTATTATTACATTTAGATTATTGAATATTACTATCAATAAATGCATTATTATATTGGATGAAAATTATTAACTGTAGTTAAAGTTTGGTCGATTAACTGAGTATTGTATGCAAGTCACAAGCAATTTATTTCATAAAAAAACTTTGTGCTTTACTCGTTGAAGCAAAAAAGAACTCTTGCACATTACATTATGCTTAGCACTTAGAAAAATTAATAAGTATTTTTTTTAATTTTTTATTTTAATAATTTATCTAGCTATAAGGTCATATAAACACAAGTATTTAGAATACATAGAATTAGAGAAATCCGAACTTTTAACGAAGCTTCTATTAACAATGGAATATATGAGAAAATAGATTAAATTAAGATAAAACAAGTAACAACGCTATATGTGATTCTTCTGAATACCTTCAATTTCTACGCTGTAATGAAAACACTACTGGTTCTTGAATAAATTAAGTTAATTGTGCATTAATATTTCATTCATAATTCATCATTTTATCATTTACATCAAAGACCATCAATTTCATGGGAAAACCGTCTTGAGAAAAATGAAACGACCAACAATTCTTTGATTAACGAATCACGACCATTATTCCATGAGTTGGGAAGTGCCAGAAATGTATCTTGTTGTCTAAGTAATGCATTATGCATTGAGCCTGAGGCATAGTTGTCAATGGAGCAAAATAGCGCGCGTCATGACGCACGGCACGGCGCAGCTCACCTACGGCGCAGCTCACCTACGGCGTCATGTTCATGGCGAGGCGCATGTGTTTAAAATAGCGCGCGCTATTTGCGCCATATGTGAGCCATGGCGCATTGCGCACGGCGCAAAATAACGCGCCAACTTATGTTCGGTACCGTTAAGTAAATGCTCGGTACCTCTATGTATATGCTGGATTCGCTCGGTACCGCTATGTACTTGCTCGGTACCGCTAGGTACACGCTCGGTACCGCTAGGTACACGCTCGGTACCGCTAGGTACATGCTCGATACCGCTCGGTACCGCTATGTAAATGCTCGGTACCGCTCGGTACACGCTCGGTACCGCTAGGTACACGCTCGATACCGCTCAGTACCACTATGTAAATGCTCGGTACCGCTCGGTACATGCTCGGCACCGCTCGGTACAACTAGGTACACACTCAGTACCGCTCAGTATCTTTCCATACAAACGAACTTCAAAATTACTCTTACAAATAAATTTTGTTCTGGGCGCTGCCCCAAGAAACCCCCGCAAGGGCGTTGCCCCTTGATCCCGCGACCTGACCGGGCAGGTCGAATCCTGCCAGGGGGCAGCGCCCCCTTGGACCCCCGGCAGCCCGTATATTATGTTTCTTGGACAATATTATATTTTTTTTTATCTAAATTTATTTGCTTTTAGGTGATCATAAAATGTCAGATTCATTTCAATCTTTAAAAAAAGATCCAGCAGGGAAATGTATTATACTAACAAATGAATCTGATAACAACACCGTGACATGCATTTTTTGTGGTAAAATAACAAAAGGAGGAATTACACGCCACAAACAACACCTTGTTGGGGGTTTTAGGAATGCAAGGCCTTGCTCTAACTGTCCCGAGCACGTGAAATCTGAAATTAAGGCATCCATGTTGAAAAAAAAAGGATTTAAAGGAACAGTTTACACCTTGCTTAAGGAGAAGGAGAAGACTTTGATGTGATGACAGATAATATTTTATAATATTTATATAGTTTGCGCCATGTTCAAAATGGCGTACGCCACGTCGTGCGTTATGCGCCATGGCTCCAAAGTGACCTTTGCGCCATGGTGCGTCATTCGCCGTTAACAGGTATTGCCTGAGGTATCTTCCTTTTAAAACATTATACCTTGCAATCACCCTGATCGCTATTTACATTTGACTGAGTGCAATCCGTAGACTTAGATTTGATTAATTCTGTGTGGCATATGGTTTTTTTAATCCGACTCTACGATAACCATATCGGAAGGTATATTGGTGTGAACATACTTACTCTTAGTATAGATAAACGAAGAGAAAGTCATTTTCCATTGAACTATATTAGATTTTGATTGAGATTTTTCGTCATATGATGTGATAGAATATGCCACTTGTTCCTGGTAGATGGTATGGTAGTTTACACTTTAGATAGCTAAACATCCATATTCTAAATGTATGGATGACTAACAAAACTGAAAGGTTTGAGTGTACACTGAACAGAAATACAAAAATCCTTGCTATTCAAGCGTTTGAAATGAAACGAAAGGTGAAACCATTACCTTTGCATCAATAGGGATGCAATTCTCCATGGCGAGGAATTTGATGTGGGCTCGGTGGTAGGAAGGGGAAAAAGGTAATTAGTAAAGGTTAAAGCAGGTTGTATGTGCTTTAATGGATAACCATGGAAACTATGCATACTTTATTGCTTTTAATTGGCCTTTCAGAGACTTCAATCTTCTTCCATGGTTCGTATGGTCTAGCTGTGTGCATATAGTGTCCTCTAATGGCTAATCAGTTTGATATTTTGCTGCCTAGACATTGTTTGAAGTTGAACTAGCCACTATGAAGACATTTATCAATGCCTGCTGCATCGTCAAAACCACTTCATGTACATTTCTTAAAAAGCATCTAGACTTTCAAGCAGCTAAGAAAATGCAACAAATGATCAATGCAAATATTTCTAGAGATGTTTTTAGAGATTTTTCCTTTATGCACTCTTGTCATGCTGCATCTTCCCTCTCTATCTCTCTTTCTTTCTTGCTCTCTCTATTTATTTCTCCTCTCTCTTAAAAAAAATGTTCTTTAGTCTTATTAGGCGGCCACCAAGCCTCCATCTCTGCCGCCTTTTCAAAATTAAACTAAGAACGGATGGGGAAGCAATAAAGGGTTTCCTTCACTTTAGCTTTGAAGAAAAACGAGGAAATAAAAGAAAGTCAACGTTCCAGCGATAGGATACTTGGGATATGACAAAAAAATATTTATCAGGAGACAAATCATTTCATGTTTGTTTAGTTCAATTACAAGCTGGAGTTAAACTATGTAATAATCTCCAGTCTCCTGTTGTGTTTCTACCTGATAAACCAACATATGGAAACGGGAGTAAGTTGAACAGATTCGAATTAGAATTATATGAGTCCTTATGCGATACTACAGGATGGGCATGACCTGATTAGATGGCCCATTTGGCAACCCATAATCCAAAGTGACAGCGTAGCTAGAAATTTTCAGCTAAAATAAATTGAATAATTACCAAACACTTTAGCCAAAAAATTATCTTGGACACTTGTCAAATCATATTGTTCTTACCATTGTTTAAAATCGCGTAATATGAGGCCCGCCTCAGTACAATTCCGGTGAAAATTTTCTCGAGGCTTACACCTTGAGCTTTTTTATGAGGCTTGTATTTCAGTTTAACTAAGATGCACCTTGAGTCACGCCTCATCTCGTTAGCGTGAGGTGTACACCTAATCCTATTTATATATTTTTTTATTAAAACCTATCTAAATCATAACCTAAATCCCCAAATAAATCACGCTGTCATGCACCGCCGAGCCACAACAGCTTCCTCTTGACTGCCTTGAACTCCAGCCTATTGCCTCCACTACAACCACCTTTGTCATAGCCAATGCCGGGGATATCACTTGGAAGCTGCACACCACCACCTCTAAAATTTTTGGAGTATCACTCTCATTTTTTATGTTGATAACAAACATTTATGAAATAGAAAGATGATTGAAATAAATAAAGAAGAAGTAGATTGGTAGGCATTAGACTCCACATAATGAGATAGGGGAGAGATCCATTTATTATAACGTTAACTCAAATAAAGACCCCCTCAATGATGACAATGCCCATGATTTTTGAGTTGTTGCCAACTATTTCAGCTTTCTTTAAAAATTAGATGTGGATGAGTGGAGAATTGAGAAAGAAGAAATTTAGAGTTGAACTTGATGTTATATTATATTTTTATGGTATTCCTATTTTCTATTATTTTTTTCATATAATATTTAGATTTCAACTCTATTTCAAACAATTTATTACTTGTCACTTAACGTTTTGTGCAATTTTTTATTTCATATATATGCCAATTTGTTACTTCATAGTTCAACAAAAAGTTAATATATCATCATTTAGCATATTATTTAGGTATTATATAAAAAATCAATTTTAACTTTTATTTTCATTTTACGCAATTTTTGAATTTTGAGGCTTACGCCTTGAAGCTTACACCTGACATCACGAACAAAAAAAGCCTCAACACCCAATTGTGCAATTTGTAAACCTTAGTTTTTATCATGATTATCCAACTCTTTTTCTCGAAATATTTATCTGGAATTGGTCCTTTTGATTGTACTTCCATCCATATTTAAGTTTTTTAATTATTTTCAGGTGAATAATACGGATGCTGAAGGCAGGCTTACTCTTGCAGATGCTTTAGTCTATGCTTGTAACCAGGGCGTTGAAAAGGTACATGTCTCTAATACAAAGGCATTATTTGTGCATCCAGAAAGTTCTCCAATTTTTCTGAAATTGTGAAGTACATTGATAGGGTTTTTAATTTAGAATATATCTGATTCTTGTTGGCTTTAGCTGACCTTATAAATTTCTGTTAATGTCCTCTTTTGATTTGAAATCTGAAAATAAAAATTGTTACACAATATATATATATATGTAATTTTCTTAGATAAGGCTAATAATAGTGATGATGATGATTTTGATGGTGGCGATGGTGATGATGGAAAAAAGTTTTGTTAGATATTGCTGATAGAAACTCTTAGATAATAAAAGCAAGATGATAAGCCTATCGTAGACAGTAATGGCCAGTCTTCCTTGTCGTTATGAAACTAGTTAAGGATCCTCACAACCTTTATACCCTTTCCTTAAATGGAGAGTCTGGAATTTAACAGATAAGAGTCTAACAATGCTCAAGAAATATGAATTCAGTCGCACCTTAAATTCAGGGAATTCAAAATTTAATTTTCAAATTGCGACCTTTGTAAATTTTGTTTTGTCTTTTAGAGAAAGTAAGCTGCCAACATTTTTCATTAGGGGTAGTAGTACTTAAAATGCCATATTTGATCATTCAATGATGTAGAATAAATAATGAACATTAATTTACTCATAGATACAGTAGTTAACTAGTTATTTTATGTTTGTCAGATTTCATTATTTTCTTAGAGTTAGTCTAGTCAATATCATTAAGTTTGTTAACAGCATTTACTTCATCTATTTCAAGATTTTGATCTAAAACTCTTTTGGGAGAAGCAATTTCTTTCAAACATTTGGCGTCCTTATATCTGCTACTATTTTTTAGATCTTTTCACATTTTCCTCCTATTTATTATCTTTTCTAGTTTTATTTGTTTTTAAGGTCGTCAAATTGTTATGAGAACTATGATTTTGGATCTTCTCTAGTTTCTTCCTTAGACACTTTGCTTTTATAGAACTTTGCTATCTGATGCCTTCAGCATATAAAATCAACAAACTTTTTTTCACATATTGAATATTTGTTAATATATTGCAGGTTGTTGATCTAGCAACACTAACCGGTGCATGTGTAGTTGCGCTTGGCCCTAGTATTGCAGGTGATCTGCTTTCTTACCGGAATGCAATTCCATATAATTTAATTATGGTATCCTCGTGTGCAGGCGTTCATTTTAATTTTGCATGTTATATGCTCCAATGATAAATAAGAGTCACCTTAAATGGTTTAGTCACATAAAACGTCAGCCTTTCGATGTCCTCGTTAGGAAAGTAGATGTATTAGATTTGGCCCATGTTAAAAAAGGTGGAGGTAGAATGATGCAATCTTGACGTCTTTCTTATAAAACAAGAAAATACAACACTTAAACTTTTAAAACGAAGGACGATACAACTTTCGTATAGATTAAAACATAAAACAACACCTAAAGGAGCTTGCAATCATTGATAAGAAAGATACATATGAGGTGGACACTTACAGAGAGAAGTAGATAAGAAGTTCGAGACAAAATCGTAGAGAGGAGAAGAAAAAAGGAACAAGCTCGCAAGCTTTTCCAAGAAGAATCTCGTAGGTTTTTGGCTCCAAAAATCCTCACATAATCTTCTCTTTAACTCAACAAAACAACCCATATATATGTGAAAAGAGGCAGCCAAACAACCCCATACATCTCCAGCCGAGCCAATAAGGAAAGGGGAAACAGAAGGCCAGCAGGCGGCAAAGGGAAGCTAAAACCAAGATAACCAAGCCTAAACAAGGAACCAAATCAGCCCAAAACTTAGGCACATCAATTGCCGCCCCCCCCCCCCCCCCCCCCCCCCTTTGCCTATAGACTCAAGATTCTTCTCTGGTTGAAAGAGCTAATCTCTTGATGAGGATACTTGAGTACGATCCTGAAGAGACAAAGGCGTCGCATCTAACTCTTGAATCACGGCCGCATACTTCTTCAAAATAATTTCTCTTTCTTGCTTGAATTTGGCCTGGAGATTTTGTTTTTTCTTTTCGTATTTTTCTGTACACAGTTGCATCTTCATTTGAAGCTTGTATAATTCGTTTTGAAGCGGATCAGTAGAATCTCCTTATGTCGGAATCCATCGGCTCATAGGAATATCTTCGTTGAGAACATTTTCTCTAACATCAGGCTCAATTACATCATGTTTTTTCATTTTTTCTAAATACCTAAAAGAAGACACAAACAACTTAGAAATATGCTAATATAGGCTCTGATACCAAATTGATGCAATCAAGTAGATCACAAAAATACATAAAAACTAGGTCTTTCTTTTAGAATAAGAAAATACAATAATTAAACAAAACACAACTTAACTTTCATATTATAAAGACCACGCATACAAACTTATAACAGAAAACATCTAAAACTACTTTTAAATCGCTTGAGAAGAAAGATACAAATGGGGTGGTCACTTGCGGATAGAAGAATTAGAGAAGAAGCCCGAGACAAAATCTTAGATAAGATAAGAAGAAGTGGATAAAGCTCGCAAGCTATCCAAGGAAAATCCTTAGGTTTTGTTGTCCAAAAATTACTTCATATCATCCTCTCTTTAACTCAACAAAACAACCCATATATATATAGTTGAAAAGAGGCAGCCAAACAACCCCACACATCTCCAGCGAAGCCAATTAGGAAAGGAGAAACAGAAGGCCAGCAGGCGGCAAAGGGAAGCTAAAACCAAGATAACCAAGCCTAAACAACGAACCAAATCAGCCCAAAACTTAGGCACATCAATTTCCACCCCCTTTGCCTACATCATAGACCTAAAAAGACTTGGTTAGAAAGTATTAGAAATGATATTTCTTATTAGAATTAAATGAGAATGATTCTTAATAGGACACAATGGAGAAAAAAGTGTCATGTAGCCTACCCCAAATAGTGGGATAAAGGCTTGATGTTGTTGTATGTTATATGACAAATCTATTTACTAATGTACACAACACATGCATATCTCTAGTAGTGAGGGCAATACAGAATTTGTAGTTTTTGACATATCATGATATCATGCTCAGGCTACTGTATGCAATGCATTTTTGTTAGAGAAGAAGTCTAACATAGGATCTGGAGGTTTAGCTTCAAGTATTTTATGTCCAAGTGTCATGCCCAATTTCAACGTCCTTTCAGTCAACCATGAGGTGTAACTGAGGCGGACAATATAGTCAAATTTATTTCCCACTAACAACCATCATGACTTACTATTCAGGGTTGAATGAGTGAAAAATTGGTCTAATTAGATTGTCGTATAATATATATCTTCATTTAATAAATTCGTCATATGTATGATGTACAAACATGAACACAAAGACACAAATACATCAATAATTAAAAATACGACACACGAGTACAGCTTAGACATCATTATAATTTTTAAATAATGCAGATAAATTAAATAACATAATATTAAAAATTACAATAAATGATAAACCATCATTATAATTAATTGTCTAGCTTATGAAGGATTATATTTAACATAACTAGTCTATTTAAGAACCAACTAGAAGAATTATATTTACAATATTATAAGTATCAAATCTAAACATTAGCAACTCAATTGAGCAATACAATTATACTATTTAAAAAAAGTCAAATCCTTACAATCACAAATAAGGATATGCATAAAACTAAACCAATATAACTTGACTATAAGAAAATAAATTGGGCCAAAATCAAATAGAAATACTCTCATTAATAATAAATAATGAGAAAACTCTAGACATGAGCTTCAAGCAAATCTTGTCATTTGTTCGCCGTAAAGCTTCTAGCATAGGAAACCACAAAGGCCTTGTGGAAAGAATCATCAATGGAGCTTGTCAATTTCTAGCGTCTTCCTTGTTGCCGACAATCGTTCCTTTGACCTACTGAATTGCTGTGCGAAAATGATCTCTCCAATAAACCTATGAAACCATGGCTAGTTGCCAACTCTTGATGTGTGATAGGAATGGAATGGGGTATGAGTAGGGTTAGGTTATTAACATTTTAACTCTAATTAAGTGAAAAAAATATATTTTATTAAAAATTTTAATTTTAATTATTTAGGAAAGTATATTTCAATAATTTTATAAAGAAATATTAGGACAAATTTGTACGATTTTTTTTAATATTATATTATTTGGGCACACTTGTGCCATCTTCGACATGTATCTCAATCATCATAGCATCATACTGATTGATATCAAAGCATGTATGATTTAAATTATCAAAATAAATTATAGAGCTTCTAATACTTTTATAAAACATTTATGCATACCTGAAGTCATCAATTCATGCCCTATACATTTTTTTTTTTTTGAGAAAATAACGAAAATGGTTTATTAACTATTTATAAAAGACCCAAATAGTCTCCAACTATATTAAATGATCATTTTGATTCATCAACCCCTTGAAGAAGAATAAAAAAGTCTCACCATGGAACTATTTTGATTCATTTTTAAAGACTTGAGGGACCAAAATGGTCCTTTAATATAGTTGGATATCATTTTGGTCATTTTAAAAAAGTTAAGGGACCATTTTGATTCTTTTCTAATTTTTTTTTGTATATTACGTCTCATAACTGTACATCCACCTATAATACTAAAATGTAGGATAATTGGGTTACATATCTGTGGTCCCATTTGCTCCTTTCTCTTTCCTGAAAAATCGTTATTATAATATTTGATAAGCTAAACTCTCAATGAGATAAATAATTCTAATATAAGGTTCAAATATACAAGAAAGAAGTAATAATATGCATGCCGATCTTTTGCACTAACATGAGCATTTTTTATTATAGATACGGTTTTAATACAAAGGTAAAATTTAAAGAAATTTGGCTCTGATATTTAAATAAATAAAAGATATAATTTTAAGCAAATAGCATGAATACATATATAAGAACATGAAATGCATTAATCAAATTTTAAATCACGAAGTGCACTCTACTTATCAATTTACTTGCACTACTTTTATTTTCATTTTTTAATTACTAATTAATTCCTTAGAAATATCTTATGATGTCTGTAGGCTTTTGGCACGTTTATATCATTGGTCATCACCTGACCCTAAAAACTATTGATAAAGTTTGGACAATTCAACATAGCTATGATCAATGGCCCCTAGACCTCAAGGTTGAATTTTATAGTCTGCTTACTATAGCACATGATATGACCTTTAATTGACTTCTTTCAATTTAATATTATCATCATTAATATGTAAAATTTTATTTCTTAGTATTAGTTGTAATACCCTAAACCGTCGTTGCTTGGCTCATCTAGTTGTAGTAACTGGGGGAAATCGAGGAAGAGGAAGAAATGTAAGGTTTTATTTAATTAAAAATTCTTATTTTCTTTTAATAAAATCTAAGCTATAATTTAGATTTTTAAAAAATACACAGTTGTTTGATGATGATTTCTTATTTTTAAATTTATTAAATTAACATTAGTTAAAAATTGTAATTAAAGTAATAAATTTAAATATTGTAATATAGAAAATTTATAATTGGTTTATGATTTTTTTAGTGGTGTGTGTGTATATATATATATATATATATATATAGAGAGAGAGAGAGAGAGTAATAAAATTAAAATTTTGAAATAAATTAAAATAAAATTTAATTGAATTAAAGATATTTTTATTAGATAGAAAATGAAGTTATTTATGAACAATTAATGGCTAATTGGAGAGAAATATTATTAAATTTATAAGTTAGGATAATATTATAAAATTATGCATGAATATAGGTGCTCAATTATGAGAGTCAAAATTGTGATTAGAAAGGGCAAAAACAAGTCATCTAAATTTGAAACAAGTACTCATATTTTTATATACTCGTAATAGCATTGCTTCTTCTCAGCTAATTACGCAAACATGCTGTTTAGTTATACAATCGTTACAAATTGAAGAACTCACACAGTCGATCTTAGATCATAGTGAGATGGTTTAAAATCGAAGAACCTACGCCGTCGATCTTAAGTCCGGGTAGGAAGAAATTACGGCAGTGCCGTCCCTATTTCTCCCTCGGTGCGGAGGAGATGCCTGGAGGTTGCTGAAATTTCTTGAAAATCTACCTCGAAATAATTGGAGAAATGAATGAACTTTAATTAGTTATTTTCAATTAATGAAAATTAATTAATTGAAAAAATTATTGGTTGAAATTAATTAAAATTTATTAATTTAAATCAATTGATTGACAAATTAAATTAAATTGGTTATCCGAGAGCATTAAAAAATTTTATAGTTTTAAAATATGGGAGCTTTTGTAAATCCGAATGTTTTAAAAATCTAAAGTAATTTAAATATAAAAGCAATTTAAAATTTGAGTTAAAATTCAAAAGCATTTTTAACTAATTAATTGGAGCAATTTTAAAATAAAAATACAATAAATAAAAGGAGGGGGAGGGAAGTTTCCACTAAATGACATATACAACATTGATTGTCAACTCTTCAAAACTCTCAAACTGAACTTTACAAACTGCTCTCCAAAGCTCTCCTATACAAGCTTCTACGGCTACTTGTGAGTTATATCTTTTGCAACTGTAAGCCTCAACTACTGCAATCACTTGCTACGAGCACCTACAAACAAACATATGAAAAGTCAGTACATCATAAATAAATTGAATGAATGCTGATAAATCTAAGCTACTACAGGTAGAACAAATTACTAGAAAATAAGAAAAGCTAAGTACGAAAAAACTAGTATAACAACATTGCTAAAAGACAGGTAGGGTAGTGGACTACTGTAGTAGAAACAAGCTACGAGCACAAAACAAAACAAACTAAAACACTAACGCAATTGTCAAACCCCCAAAGTGTCAAAATCACAAATTCAGACCAACTCTACAAACTGTTCTCCAAAGCTCTCCTATACAAGCTTCTACGGCTACCTGTGGGCTCTATCCTCTGCAACTGCAAGCCCCGGCCACTTCTAATAGAAGCCATAAGTCCGACATCTGAGGGAAGTGTTTAGGTGATAATATAACCCTAGACCCCTCATTTGGACATCTTAGTCTATAGGACTAAGTTGTAAGACCCACCATTTGGGCTACTTCTAAGAGAAGCAATAAGACCCGTGTGTTAGGGAACTTCTAAATGAACGATCCTATTTCTAAACAATTAAACCCATAACTTGGGCATCCTAGTCTATAGGATTAGGTTGTAAGACCCACCAGCGTGCCACTTTTAAGTGAAGTCGTAAGTCTCATGTTTTAGGGATACTTTTAAAACAAAGTATAACAACCCTAACAATTCTACAAATAACTAACGGTCTACTTTCTACGAAAGCTATAAGTCCCAATTTAAATCAAATACTTGGGTTACTTTCTACGAAAGTTGTAAATCCCAATCTAGATTTAAATCTCCGGGCAACTTCTAAGTGAAGCCATAAGACCCATATTTTAGGAAAATTATTAAATAAATTGTAATAACCCTAAAACCCAAACAATCTAATTCAAACATATGGGCATCTTAGTATAAATGATTAAGTTGTAAGACTCGCTTTTCAGGCTACGTCCTAAGAGAAGCTATAAGTCCTACCCAAATAATTTAAAACTTCCAGGCAGCCTTGTTGTAGAGTTAGGTTGTAAGACCCATCTTTGGGCAACTCATAAATAGAGCAGTAAGCTCCATTCCAAATCTAAATACCTGGGCTACTTTCTATGAAAGCCTTAAGTCTCAAACTAAATCTAAATATCCGGGCTACTTCTTAAAGAAGTCATAAGTCCCATTCCAAACCAAACTCCTGGGTTACTTCTAAACGAAGTCATAAATTCCAAACTAAATTAATTTTTTGGTATTATAATAGATGTAAACTCAAAAAAAAAAAAAAAAAAAAAAAAAAAAAAAAAAAAAAAAAAACTAAAACACACCTAATCAAATTAAAACTCAAATCTCACAACTTCAGTCTACTCGGGATCCCTGAGAGGAGGCAACCCATGGCTGCTAATCAGATTCCCTGGACACTACGGTTAATGATCATTAGTGTTGGTAGATTGAAACTATGGTATACCCGGGACGACGGAACCATGAGATCTTGATCGGGTTTACCTCCATTTCACCCATAATTTAGACTAAAATTACTTAAAATTTATTCATCCTTAATCGATAGTTCTCTCTTACGTGTTAAGAGGAGTAATTAACTATGAGTGCTTGCGCTCATAGGAAGTAAGGACCTCAGATCGTTAAATCCTGATATTAAGGACCTCAGATCGTTAAATCCTGATATTACCTTCAGGAGAAATCTGGTTAACTTCAATATGACTTAAGAGAAATGAAATCTTATGGCTACAAAGTAGGATTCATGCACTTGTGCCATTTTTTTTGAGCCAACACTTAGGCAAATATCCATCCCAAGTCTACAAGGTACCCTTGGACGAAGCAACCCATGGCTGCCGACAAGGATCCTTCTGTCAGGTTGGGTCAACTACCTCCTCTGACTAAGCAGACCAAGGACCATGATGACCCAAGACGACAGAACCATGGGATCTTGATCGGGTCCATCATCCATTCTCCCACCATTCGCATTAAGTGCAAGGTGTCAAAAATTTCTATTTTAAATGTTCAATCTTCAAATTCTCAACCATTCCCAAATCCAAACTCATGCTGCTACTATATGCCATATAACGCATACCTTTACGTATATGATTGACTACTAGCCTTAATCAAAAGTTCTCTCTTGTTATCGGGAGAGGTAATTAACTATAGGGGCTTGCGCCTGTAGGAAACCAGAACTCAGATCATAAAGTCCTCGCAAAATGAGGGCGAAATCTCTAGGTAGTGTCTTATCTACAAATCCATATGTCTTCCCAAAATTTACCCCAGAACTTAATGCGTTAAAACTCCCCCTGAAAAAGAAAAAGCATAAACGGGCGGAGGCTGGGGCCGAATTTTCGGAGCCCACAATCGACTTTGCCAACGTTTCGCTGCCTCAGTCACTGACATTTTCCTGCTCTTTATAGGAAATCCACCGCAAGTTTTTCCTTTTATCATGGATGTTCTCGATAGACATCTGCAAGAGATTGTACCATGGTGTATGCATTTTGTTGATTATATTCTTCTTGTTGATGAGTCTATAAAGAGAGTTGATGTGTATATTAGTAGTAGAATTCAAATGAGATGGTTAAAGTAGAGGAATGCATTAGGAAAAATCTTAAAAAAGAGAACAAGTGGTGAGACTTGTAATGTGTGATAGAAAATTTCCCTCATACTTATGGGGAAAATTCTATAAGATGTGGTGAGACTTGCAATGCTTTATGTTATAAAATGTTGGAGTAGCTCTTATGAAAGATAAGATTAGAGAGAGTGAGATAGTTGCCTTAGATGGTTTTTTCACGTAATTAAATTATATTTTCATACTTATCTCCAACGAAAACTACATTTTCACACACGTACCCCCCTGAGGACCTATACACGCCTTTCTTGGCGTAGTAGGATTGAAGGCCACGACTGCGATGTCACCAGACATCGATCGTACATGTCTTTCTTGATGTGACAGGCATGTTAAGACTCCTTGTATTTCCCCTAAACAGAAGAGATGTCGGGAGGCTGCTAGATTTTTCATTGACAGGGTATTTATGCGAAATAACACCATTCAATTTACAAATAAAATTGAAATCCATATATTTTCCTTCAACAGATTTTTCAACAATATCTAATATCTTCATATTATATGTAGAGCACTTGATTCTTATGGAACAACATATCCCTTGCATTCTGTATAAACTTGAGAAGATATTTCATCTAGTTTTTTTTGACTCTATAGAGCATCTACCCATGTATTTATCATATGAGGCTACAATAAGTGTACCTATTCAATATCGGATGATGTATCCTTTTGAGAGGTATTTAAATAAATTTAAGAAGACTACTAAAATAAAGCACTTCCTAAAGGCTCAATTTTTGAAACATATTTAATGTACGAGACAATCCAGTTTTGCTCGTATTACTTTGACAGTGTTATAATCATGTAGGAGTACTGCAACTCAAAATGTGGGTCATACAAATTCATGTAAATCCTCAAATTTATCTGTATTTGACGGAAGTGGCGAACCCACAGGCGCTAGTACCGCATGCTATTTGATTGATAAAGAGATGAGAACTACTCCAACTGCAGCAGAACAAATGACAGATGGTCGCATACTGATTGAACCTGATGGTGACACGTACGTACTTATTATATTGTTATCATGCAGCTAAAATTGAATACTTTTTTTTTCTCACCTAACATATTTTGTGCAAGTTTCACCTGTCAAAATAGCCGACGCATAAAGTATGGGACATAATACGGAGCATGTATGATGCTTCTTATATTTCTTGAAAGAAAGTCCCAAAAGAAGTGCAAGACATATGGTTCAGAGTGTTTGAGTTTAGTTATTATACAAATATGTTTTATATTATATCTTTTTTACGTAAGCTAATAAAAATATATATTCTAAGTTGTATGCTTTTAAATGCAAAAAGATTTTTGTCGGCTGCCGCAGCATAATGATAAAATCAGGAAGAATTTTGAGAGGCATGGATCGACTCACATGTGAGACATGTTTACAAACGTCAGAAATTCGGACAAGCGACCACTCTGGATTGGTGAGAGTGTATGGGCTGAGCTGACTAGTTGTTGTGGTAGCCCAGATTATACTACGAGGGACCAAAATAGACATAACAGAGCTTCTGATGTTTAGGGCATGGGTAGTTCCCTTCATATTAGGGGCTCAGTTTCACATACTAAGCACAGGCGATGACTGGTAAGAAATTTTAAAAGTTTTGAATAATTTACCTAGATATGAATATTAATGTAAGTCTGTTACAGAAAGAGGTGCTGGGTAGAGAGTCGGTCGTTGTTGAATTGCATAGTCATACCCATGGGCGACAGGAGGACCAACAATGGGTTGATGAGCGAGCAAAGAGAGCTTAAGTATATAAGTTTAATATTTTTGATGTCATGTGTAAATTCTTAATTTTTTATTAAATTTTATAGGACGAGTATACACAGCTTCGAGAGAGCCATACCGGAGCTTGTGAGGATTCCTTTGGTGGATCAGTAGAATATTCTAACTATCGCATTTGATCGCAAGACGTAGGAGGAATACAACATGGCAGGATTTATGGCTTAGGTTCATAAGCCTATGCATACGAGCGAAAAATATCTGGTGGCTCCAGCTTCTCAGCAAGTACCCAGGAGTCGTTATATAGCAAATAGGTAGTTGACCTTCAAGCCAAACTAAACCAAGTCAGAAAATCACACGCTGACTGACAAGTGCAGATGCAGACGCAGATGCAGATGCAACACACTCAGTTGTTGGATGAACTACATAAAATGAGGGAGCAGCTCAAAAAGTAGGTAGCTTCAGCAGAGGAGGAGACTGATTCTGATGCAGACTGATTCTGGATATTTGTGTAGTCTTAAATGAACAAACTTTACATTTCATTTTGAACTGTTTGGTGAATGGTCAATTAATATGGAATATATGTTTATGTTCAATATTATTTGGTGATGATTCTGATGTATGTTTATATATATGTTTGAGTTTCAATGAATATAGTTTTGGAATGTTTTTATGCAAGTTGTGTTGTAGAAATCATTTTTTTTAATAGAGAAGGATGTTTTTTTTTTTTAAATTTTTGCTACAGGTTTCCGGTAGATTATCCACCGGAAACATGAACTTGATGAAATTGTATCGTATTTCCGTCGAATATTATGCACCGGTATTTTTGGTAGATAATCCGTTGGATGTTTCCATTGGTAACAGTCTGGCGAAACCATCCGACGGATTATCCACTAGTGTTTACATCATAAACTTTCCACTGGTAATTCCGGCGGATAAAATGTCGGAATTCCTTCCAAGAAAGTGACGTTTTGGTTACGGTTTTTTCTCTAGTATTTTGCCGGCAAGTCCGCTGGAGTATTTCAGACATATTTGTTTCGACGGAATTAAATTTTCGACGTGTGAATTACAGTCGGACAGCTTTTCGTCGAAAATTCGCCGTAAAACGCATTTTACCAGCAGAATTTGATGTTTACTGGCGGATTCTGTTCACCGGTAACGACCGATTTTCCTGTAGTGTCGAAGTGATGGTGAAATAGATGGGGATACCATTAGTAGAATTTAAGTTGGAGTGTTGAAGTGGAGGAATGCATCGGACTTGTTGTGTGATTGAAAAGTCCCTCTCAAACTTAAGGAAAAATTCTATAAGATGGTAGTGAGACCTGCAATGCTTTATTGCGTAGAATGTTTTCCATTAAAAGAGAAGCATAATATTAAGTAAAGTGTTGCAGAGATGAGGATGCTTAGGTAGATGAGCTGCTTTACGCTTAAGGACAAGACACGAAATGGGCATATAAGTGAAAATCTTGGAGTTGCTCTAGTGGAAGATAAGATTAGAGAGATTCATTTTAGATGGTTTTTTCACATAAAACGATGCCTTCCAATGACCCGGTTAGGAAAATAGATGCATTAGTTTTGACTTATGTTAAGAAAGATAGAGGTAGACCTAAAAAACTTGGTTTGAAAATATTAGAAATGACCTTTCTTTATTAGATTTAGATGAGAATTTGATTCTTAATTGGACAGAATGGAGAAAAAAGATTCATGTAGCTGACCCCACAGTTGGATAAAGGCTTGTTGTTGTTGATTATAGAATACATCATAGTCTTATAACATGAATTGTAAAATGGCTTTTCATTAGGAAAATTAAATCTTATCGTTTTCTTCCGACACTCAATGGTAGCAAAATGTCTAACTGACCAGCTCATTCTCATAATAACATCAAAGTCTTCTTGGGTATTAAAATTAATTCCATTATTAGTTTTATACACTGAACATCAACGTCTATTGTGCATTTTCTATTTGCATATATTCTCTCAAGATGGCAACAGAATACACAATTCAGGTATAAAAAAATATAATTTCAACTAGAGACTAAAGGTAAATTCTTCCAAGATAAATGAACTTAAAGCGTTGTAGTCGAACAGAGCTGTACCAAATTGATTGGAGATCAAAAGTGCACCTATAACAACATCTTCTGATTCCTTAGGCCCTTGAGGTGTCATAATAAAAACTCTTGCTTTTACAGGTCGTGTTCTTATTTTCAGAAGTTTCTCCTTTCATATGAATATATTGCTTTCCCTATAACTTGGTCTTCCCTGATTTATTATCGCCTTTCAAAAAATTCTTTCATTGAACTTATCTCTGATACCCTCCAGTTTCTCCACGCTTATAACATTTTTTAGAACAAAAAAGTCAGTGCTAAAATATCTCTTTCCACACTATTGACATAAGGTTTTCTCAGGTTGAATGTGCTTCTGCTTGTTTTCAAATTTAAACTTCTTATTTTTTAAAATTATCTTTATAAAAATTTCTTTTATTACCCAACTGTTGCTCCCAATTCGATTTTGCATAATTTAGCTTATTTTCAACTCTTCTTGCTCTTTCTATTTAATTGAAAATTTATTTATTTTAAAAGAGCTAAAGCTAATCATAGTTGATATCGAGGGCCTCTTAAAAATCTGTGGAACTTTTCTTCCTAAGTACTAACATAATGAGGAATATATCTGGATAGAGATGTGAACTCTGTCTCATACTATATAGCAATTTTAGAACCCAAAGCTAAATTGAAAATTTTATCTTGCAATGCAAATGTAGCTTATGGTGGAATAAATCAGTCTTTGAAAATCTTCACAAAATCATCTCAATCAATCATTGATAAAGGCATCGTCCCAAATTTTTCTGTGTTTTACTCGCCATCATCTCTCAACTTCTCCTTATAATACAAAAGTCATACGTATTACTCTTCCATTTCTATAGGGAAAATCATACTATTCAAATTTTTTTTTCAATTTTTAACAACTTATATTCAGCAACAGTGGGATTATTTTGGTCTACCATATTAATTTATTAACATGCATTCATCATTTGATTTATGTCCTAAAAAAAATCATTTGATTTATGTCTTAACTTGACTTCCACTTGGTAGTCCAGTCATGTTTTTTTTAGTTAGACTTCATGTTGAATTAGCCGTGCTCTTTTGGCTATGTTAATTCTTAGGATTGTCATGCCCTTTGACTATGTTATTCATTCTTCTGATTATGTTCTTTCGACTAGAAAATTTTCTTGATTTGGCAATGCATCATTGTGAAACTTATTAACTTTTTATTTTATATAACATTTTATCATGGACCAGTTTAATATGCCTTTTGCTGTAATTTTTCTTTACATAATTTTGGTTTTTGTCAGCCTGGAGAAGTTACCAATTTTGACAGATGCATTCCTTATTGTTCCAAAAGCAGGACTATAAAGCGGCTTACACAATTTTTTAACATATTGATTAATACAACCTTATTCTTTCTTTTAACAGGATACTTTACACCAAGTGATGAACTCGCAAAGGAGATTTGCTCGGCTTCCGAGGTTTCAGGAGAGAAATTTTGGCGAATGCCATTGGAAGACAGCTATTGGGAGTCGATGAAGTCTAGTGTAGCTGACATGCTGAATACAGGAGGCCGTGCAGGTGGTGCCATGACTGCTGCACTTTTCTTGAAACAGGTTTGCATCCTTCGATTATCTGATAAAATTTATTTTAGGCTGCACAATAAAGGCTAATGAAGCTCTCTTGAAGTAGTAATCACGTGATATTATGATGTATCATGGGCGAGGTCCTCTTAAAGCTCATAGTACCAGCTTAACTGCGTCATGGGAAGAATGCTGTGGATTAATCCACTAATTCATCTTCTTCCTGTTTATTAATTTATGCTAATTAATCGTTAGAATACCTATATGTTGCGAGGAATTTTATTTGATTCCTTTAAGAAAATTTTATTTATGTTTTGGTAATTTAAAATTTCTATGATGTCTACATAAGGGAAACATGTTTTGTTGATTGTTATACGTCAATTATGTGAATCATTGAGCAATGAAGCACATTTTCTATATAAAAATGGGGATGCAAGGATTACAATACACTAGGCTAGGAGGGGAGTCAACGAGGGAGTTAGTTTAGGGAGAGGATGGGATTGGTGTGGTTGGGGGGG